AACGGTAGAGGTGGGAACCTTGTCTTCAGGGTACCAGCTGCATTTAACGCAAGGAAAAGGAGTGATGGGTTTAAGGCGTGCGCAATAGAGCATTGAGAGGTTTCCTATGCTACCCATTAGGTCCGTGTTAATAATCTATTTCATATATATTACTCTGTATATGTTAACCCTCTTAATTTCTCTGCCCCACCTATCACCTTTGGTAACCATAAGGTTGTTGTCTAAGTCTTTGGGTTTGTTTCTGTTTTGTTAATGAGTTCATTTATATCAATTTAATTTTAAAACTCTACCCGTTAAGTGATATCATAGGCAATTTGTCCTTCTCTGTCTGACTTCCTCACTTAGTATGATCATCTCCACATCCCTCCATGTTGCTGGAAAAGGCATTATTTCACTGAGACATACTTCAATAAGGGATGTATATGATATTTTTCCTGCTGTCTGACCTACTTAACTCAGCACGACACTCTCTAGCTCCATCCGAGTTGCTCCAAATGGCATCGTTTCACTCCTTTTAATGGCTGAGTAATACTCCATTGTGCATATATACGTACCATATCTTCTTTACCCGTTACTCTGATGATGGACTTTATCGTTGCTTCTATTAATATAGCTTGGCTAAGGAAAACAGTGCTGCAGTGAAGGTTGGGTGCATGTATCATTTTGAACTAGGGTTTTTTTTTCCCCATGAAGAGGCCCAGGAGTGAGACAGCTGGATCATGTGGTAGCTCTATTTTAAGTTTTTTTTAGGAACCTCCATACTGTTCTCCACTGAAGCTGTAATCAATTTACATTCTCTAAAACAGCATAGGAGGGTTCACTTTTCCCCATGCCTTCTTCCGTTTACTGTCTGTAGTCTTTCTGATGATGGTTTTTGTGTCTGGTTTGAGGTAGTTTTGATTTGTAGGTAGTTTTGAATTGCAGTTTTGATTTCAGGTCTCTAATAATTAACCATGTGGAGCATCTTTTCATATACTTTACCAAAAAAAAGTGCATTAAATTGACCTCTCGAGACTGACTTCTTGAAGGTCTGCCCTATATTGAATTGTTTTTCAACTACCTGCTGCTGCTGCTGCTAAGTCACTTCAGTCGTGTCCGACTCTGTGCGACCCCATAGATGGCATCCCACCAGGCTCCCTCGTCCCTGGGATTCTCCAGGGAAGAACACTGGACTACCTACCCCAGAACATTTCTTGAGGGCAAGTGTTCTTTACAGGCCCGCAGGAATATGAAGTACCCAGAAGCATCCTTTTTCCAGTTGTTGTTCTGGGAAATGTCCACAAGGCGGCAGCACTTCTCCATGCTCCTTTTGGATTCCAAGAGCCCTAGAGAAAGCCATGTTACTGGCTTGTAGATTAGAGTGGAATGTGCCAGGGTTTGTGTCTCGTTATTTTCCCCCCTTCACCTTGCACCTCCCAGACAAACCTTAAACCCTGGCAAAACTGCAGTGCTGAGGATGCTGTCCTGCTTAGGACCAGCGACTTCAAAGAAGGAGGGTGCTGGTGGGAGCTCCACCACTGGGAGACTTGGAGGCCAAGTGATTTTTCCAGACCAGAGGGTCCACCATCCTTTAAGTATGCTAGACTTGCCTGAACTTTAGGAGGGCCCAGCTGGATCTGGAGATTGGGGTCTCATCCACAGGGGTCCAGGCACTGCATATCCATGGGGGCTCCTTTGCCGATACATCCTCCCCAGCTCCCTCGGCTCTGCCTTGTCCAGCCTTGGGACCCCAGAGCAGCTCAGCTCCAGGGATGTGACTCCAGCCCAGGTGACCAAGGCCTGAGGGGAGTATAGTAGGTACTTCTTTGTTTATCTCTCTTCTTTCTTTCTCTCGCTTTCTTTCTTTGTTTTGTTTAACTTTTATTTTAGACTGGACTATAGTTGATTTACTATGTTGTGTTTAGGTGAATAGCAGCCTGATTCAATCATGAATATATTTATTTTTTCTTGGATTCTTTTCCCATGCAGGATATTACAGAGTGTTGTGTAATATGTAATATGTATCCCATGGGCTACAGTGGGTCTTTTTTGATGATCTATTTTATGTGTGTGTATATATATATATATATATGTTAGTGTTTATGTGTCAGTCCCCACCTCCTTATTTATCCTTCCCACCACCTTTTTCCTTTGGTTGCCCTAATTTTGTGTTTTACGTCTGTGTATCTTTTTCTGTGTTGTAGATTAGTTCATTGTTATCAGTTTTTCAGACTCTACATTTAAGTGATATCATATACTATTTATTTTTCTCTTTCTGTCCTTCATTTAGTGTGATCATCTCTGTATCCATCCATGTTGCTGAAAATGCTATTATTTCACTTTTTTATGAGCTTCCCTGGCGACTCAGACAGGAAAGAATCTGCCTGCAGGACAAGAGACCTGGGTTCTGTCCCCGGGTCGGGAAGATCCCCTGGAGAAGGGAATGGCTCTCACTCCAGTATTCTCCTGGAAAATTCCATGGATGGGGAGCCTGGTGGGCTACAGTCCATGGGGTTGCAAAAAGTTGGACATGACTGAGTGACTAACACTTCACTTTTCAAGTATGTATTCAAGAGTGGGATTTCTGGATCATGTGGCAACTCTATTTTTAGTTTTTTAAGGAAATGTCATGTATTTTCCATAGTGGCTGCTCCCACTAATTATATATTCCCACCAACAGTATAGGAGTATTCCCTTTTCTCCACATCCTCTCCAGCTTTTCTTGTTTGCAGACTTTTTAATGATAGTCATTTTGACTGTTTTGGGGTAATAACTGCATTTTAGTTTTGGTTTGCATTTCTCCAATATTGAGATGAATTTTACGCTTAATGAGTTGATTGAATGAGACATGAATAAAATCTTCACAAAGCTTGTATTAAAAATAGGCACAACCTAAGATTTAATGTCATCCTCTTGGGTAGTCAGTGAAAGTGAAATTAAAGAAATGAAAACAAAGCTGCCCTTTAGTGCTATGGAGAATTGTTATTAATAGTAGTGGGTCTGTAGTATTCAGTGTTCATACTGATCTCAGTGACCTAGACAGATCGGAACTTTTTTTTTTTTAAACCAAACTTACGCGTGCTTTTCTCTTAGTTCTCTAATTCAAAGACTGCCAGACATGAAAGCATTCTTTCAGACCTTTCCTATTACTTTCCTTTTTATAACTGAGTTCATGAACAGACCCAAGGGATAGTATTTAATGACAGCCTCTGCCTGTTGCTAAGTGTTTCGTTCTCTTATATAACTCTCGATTATACTGAACTCTGGCTGTGGTGGAGAGTCTTCCCAATGAATGATACTGTTTAAATAGTGAAAAATACACTTCAAAAATATCTTAGGGTAACAGTAAAGGAAATCATCAGCAAGTATCTTTCTAAGTCTGAATATTATGTTTTGAGTGAGTAGTATATGGTATTTATCTACTGAATACATTTTATAAAGATTCTTTGTAGTGCACGTATCTTCATAGTTCTTCAGGTTGATAAAATATGTCATCCCTGGAATTCTATATTATTATCACAGTTAGAAGTGGATTTCTACAAATAGTAAAATTATGTACGTAGGCTTTGAGGTAAAAAAGGAAAAAGACAAAACCCTTAGAGTATTTATTGTCTCACAAGAAGAGAATAAACTATGCCATAAATGAAATTAAAATAAAATAAATAAAAATAAATAAATAAAATAAAAAATAATAATAAATAAAAATACAAATGCTGTAAAGCTGTCAGTGTCATAGCTACCTGAATTTACTAAGAGACAATTATTGATGGGCCTCCTGGGAGGGCTGGTCACTTTAGAGTAACTCAACTGTGTAACTCATTTTATATGCATGAATATATCAACATAAGATAAAGGTTTTAGAGAACAGAAATTTCCTAAGAAAAAATTAAATGTCAAAAGAAGAATAGCAAACTCATAAAACTGTTAGATCCAAAACATGATGTGTGCATTTACTCCCCTAGAGTGTGGCGACCAGTGTTAGTTTATTTTAGTCTTACATCTAAATGGCTAGAAATGAGCATTAAGTAATATTTGAGCTACAAATGGATTTATTTATATAATTTTAATAAGTGTGTGCACATTTGCCTTAGAGCTTAGCATTCAAAGCAACTCCTTGATAGGCTAAGAAGTCTACATTTGAAAAACCTTGGAAAAAGAATGAATACATGGACATGTATAACTGAATCACTTCGCTGTACATCTGAAACTAATGCAACGTTGTTAATCAACTGTGTGCCAATATAAAGTAAGTATTTTTAGAAATGAAGTCTATAGTGTATATCATGTATATATAGTGTATATCATGATTAGCAGATGAAACTGGGTATCAGAAACGGGTCTCTTTTGGTTTTCTTGGTAGTTAAAAAATGAAGTATTTTCCAACAGGTAAGAATCAAAATGTTTAATAGAAAATCTAGATTTCTAATTGATCTTGGGAAATGAAAAGCTACAGAAACACTGAATTCAGACTGTAATGTGACCACAGCTGGCAGAGTGATCAATGGCTCTCTCCTTTTGTCAAAATGACTCCATCTCTGTGTTGATCAAATCTCTGCCATTCATCACTATATTCTGCTTGATTGGTTTTACTATTTTATCTACTTGGCCTCAGGTATGTCTTTAAATCCATGATAACAGTTGGCTGAGTGATCAATAGTTCCCTCCTTTAGTCAAAATGACTAAATTGCTGTATTGACCAAATCTTTGCCATTCTTTACTGTATTCTGCCTGGATGGTTTCACTACTCTATGTTATCTGCCTGACTGTGGTACCTATTTAAATTTGTAGCATAAAGCATTTCAGACTGAACTTATAAACCAAAAACCACAGCCCTTATAATGTGAGGTAGAGACCAGACAGCTGTTCACCAAACCGTTTTACTCATTCTTAGCACACAGCTTGACTCCCCTCCCAGATTCTTTTGCAGTTGGCTTTGCTACATCGGGGATCCTGGCGGGCTATAGTCCATGGGGTCGTCGCAAAGAGTCGGACACAACTGAACGACTAACACTTGCTACGTCATTAAGTTTTATTTAATGGAAGAGGGATTGTAACTCTCTTTTCTTCTTGTGTCCACTGGCTAGATATCAACCATCTGGGTCATCTCAAAAGCTATACATGGAGAAGTGCAAAGACTCCATCAACCAGGGGTCAGGAACCAACTTACCTATTCTCCCCTCCACACAAAAAATTGGATTCTAAATGAATGTTCTCTTAAGTCACTGATAGTTGAAGCATTACCTTAATTAATTCAAGATGTAATCATCTTTCCCTCCATCTCTATATGCTTCCTCTCAGGAAACACAACCAGTAATCTGGAGGAAAGAAAAAGGAGGAAGATGAAGGAATATTCATCCCTCCTTCTCTAATGCTGTTTTTTTTCTTTCACTTATTTGGCATTCCCTTTGATGAGTTCTTAATCCTCACTCCATGTCTTTCGCCATGTTATGTCCTTGAGGCAATATGTAAACCAAGATGCTTTTAGCTGAAATATCAAAAAAGCCCAGTTTAAACTGGCTTGAACAATAAAAAAACATGTTTTGGCTCCCATGATGGAAACAGTACAGAGGGAGGACAGGCTTTCTGTACAGTTGGATTTAGTCCCCTGGAGTTCTTTAACTTCTGCATTTCTCAGATAAGTATCCCTTATGGGAGCAAAATGACTGCGGGAGTTCACACCTCTGTCTGTACAGCACACCCTCTGGGGCAGGGATGTAAGTCATTATCCTAGCAGCCCTGAGCTTCTCTCTCTCTGGATCATTGAAGTCATGTGCCTACCCTGAACCAGTGTCTGTGGCTAAGAATTGCTTTGTGCTTGGCTGTTCATCCCTGAAGTAACACTTTGGCAAGAGAGATGGCCTTGTGCCTGCCTATTGTTTATGCCAACTTGGGAGCTGATCAGACCCACTCAACTGGCAGGATGGAAAAAGAATCCAGAATCCATGTCAGAATTCAGTGATACATAAAAGTAATTCCTGGTGCCATGGCAACCTGGCTCTTAAGAAGAATGATTTCCAGTTACCCAGTGCCTTAGACTTTCTAAGACTGTATAGTTTTATATATTATTAATGGGCTTCCCTGGTGACTCAGAGAGTAAAGAATCTTCCTGGAATACAGGTGACCCAGACTTGATCCCTTGGTCAGGAAGATCCCCTGGAGAAGGGAATGGCTATCCACTCCAGTATTCTTGCCTGGAAAATCCCATGGACAGAGAGGCCTGTCCATGGGGTTGCAAAGAGTCAGACACGACTGAGTAGTAAGCACACATATATTTATGTATTAATCCACTAATGATTCTTTGGGATATACAATGTGTATTTTATTGTATATGTTTTACAGATAAATTTTAGACTGAGAGTTGTTAGGGAGTGTGCCCTAGGTTGCAGACTAGTTAGTGGCAGAACTAGAAAATTGTTTATTTCACCATGACTCTTCTCTTCCTCACTTTCTTTGAAAATGTATTAGATAAAGATTGTGTTGTAATTGCATTTCTGGTTCAGAAAATCAAACTACTACTGCCATAATAGCCCCTATAAAGCACCACTGTGGCTGCTTTTAGTTCTAAATTGCTTAATCTTTGTGAATTCAGGCGGCCAGATACAACTGCAATTAGGCATCTTACCCATGAACACGGAGCCCGGTTGAAGGCTAAGGAGCGACTCAGCCTTCGTTATGATTGAATCCTAGGGTTGAGAGTAAATACACAATTATAGTTAAGAAGGAAAACGGGCTCTCTGTCTTTTGTGCTTGTCCGAGAAGTCAGTATACTGCAGATTAAAGGGGGTGATAGTCTGGCTGCATACAAGCATAAGCCATTGATTAGAGTATTAATGCATTACAAGTTCATTGCTGTTAAACAGAAAAACCATATAATTACTCTTCATAGAAGGCGGTTCACAGCAAGCGAAGAAGTACATTTCCAGGCTCACATATTTAAGTTACAAACATAAAGCTCATTTTCACCTAAAGAGAGGGCATCATGATTCCATTATTTAGTCATTTTTCAGTAGAGATAAGGATTCACCAGAATGAGAGAGAGAAGTGCTTTCATTAAGACTCACATTACCATATTCCATGTAGAAACTATTGAGCCAGAGAGATATTTTTGGAAAATTGAATCCATATCAAATCATACTGAACCAAAAAAAAAAAAAGTTAAAGAAGAGGTACATGCTCCAGGTAGTTGAAATAATAGTTCAAAAGAAAGTAGAAATGACAGGAACTTGAAGGTAAAGGTTACAGTTAAAGCAATAGGAAACAAAATTGGTAATAAATCACTCACAACTGACTTGATCTCAGTAGTGAGAGGGTTTTAAAGACAAATGCCTGAACAGGGGTTATGAAATCAGATTTCTTTTCCTAAATCCACTGAAGGTTGCTTATGAGAATAAGTCACTCAACTTCCTATCTAATTTTCCTATAAAATCAAGCCATAGAAAATATTGATACCAATCTTTGTGGTTTTCACAACAATTACACTCTATTTTAAAGCAATGTTTCACCATATTCACCAATCACAGCAGCCTATGCTGCTGACCATAGGCAGCATTTGGTATGAGTATTGTTCACTCGCTAAGTCGTGTCCTACTCCTTGCGACCCCATGAACTGCAGCACGCTAGGCTTCCCTGTCCCTCACTATGTCTTGGAGTTTGCTCAGACTCATATCCATTGAGTCAGTGATGCCATCCAACCATCTCATCCTCTGATGCCCCCTTCTCCTTTTGTCCTCAATCTTTCCCAGCATCAGGGTCTTTTCCAATGAGTCAGCTGTTTTACAGAATCCAAAGAATACGAATGACATTGGGTGGGAATAGGAGATACACAGCCCTGAGAATGTGGTCCCAGAGACTCATTGAACATTTCAAGACATGAGCGTCCCAGTGAAAGACGTCCAGTGGTTTTTCCTTCTTTGTGCAGCTTCCCAAAGATTCAAATTCCAGAAGATAAATTCCGTTTGGCTGAACTTGCATTGGCTTCCCTGGGGGCTCAGATGGTAAAGAATCTGCCTGCAATGCAGGAGGCCCAGATTCAGTTCCTGGATTGGGAAGATCCTCTGGAGAAGGAAATGACAACCTGCTCCAGTATTCTTGCCTGGGAAATCCCATGGACAGAGGAGTCTGGCAGGCTACAGTCCATGTGGTCGCAAAGAGTTAAGACTTCGCTGAGCGGCTGACCCACACTCACAAAAGGGTGGACAGGCGCTCTTGATAGAGCTCTCACCAGGACAGCAATGGGTGTCTGTGACAATGGTCTTATCATTCTCCAAAAGGCAGCACGAATGTTGGTCAGCCCCCAGAATGGCCTTGCAATTCATTTTCTGATCTCATTGCATCCACTTAACTTTTGTTTATAGTAGGGAATATTAGTTTATTCGTTAGTTTCTCATATAACTGCTAACTGGGTGAGAAAACTTATTCCTAATTGGAAACTATTTACTGAGAATCAGTAAGACAGTCTGAATAGCTCCCTTAAAAGAAAATATTCCGAAAGCTGTGGCTACACTGCCTTTCATGTGAGGACATAATGGTTAGGCAGTAGCGAATTGCACTGGTATTGTATCAAACAATAGGAACAAAGCACTACCTTTTCTGGTCTATTAATAAACACCTTGCTGAGGAACACATTATTTCAAATATATGCAGTGATGGCCTGATGGCATGCCATTACCTTGAACATGAACTGTGAGGCAGGGGCTGTGAAGGCGTCCTCTCTTGGGACTCCCACACGGAGTTGACTGTTACTGGTTGTCTGGCCATCAGTTCCCGTCTAATTCCTGTAAGGACAGAAGACCTTAAAACAATAGGCTTGCACTGGGCTGTCATTTTAAAAAAGAAGCAGGTTACTGCCTCCTAATTTCTGCACAGTGGGTCGAGACAACTGCTGACAGTATAAAATGTTTTAAAAACAGTAGGACAGCCCGCAGATCAGTCAATCAGTCACCAGAATTTGCATGGTGTTCCTAGGGAGTAGCAATGTAGAGAGCTTTACAAAACAAACTAAGCTCCATGAAGACCAAACCCCAAAATCAACCCTTTCGACAACATGGGTATCTATTCTGGTAAGCAATCAGTCTAATTTCAGAGAAAGACATTATAAGAACTCGCTACCCACAACATTCTCTCCATAGTAAGTGTTTTATTAGAGGATTATAGGAAAGTATGCAAAATAGTACAGTTTAAAAAAAATCCTCCAGAATAAGGAATAAAACCCTCCACCTACAATTCTTGCTCCTCTTCTTCACCTTCATCACTTTCTCCTTCCCTTTCTACCCCTGCCTCCTGTTCTTCTTTCTCCTTCATCATTAGTGCCTTAAAAGAACTAGGTTTCACTCTATAACCCTCAGAACCTATGAAAAGACTCTGCCATTAAGCTACAAATTAANTCAGAACCTATGAAAAGACTCTGCCATTAAGCTACAAATTAATGGGGGGAAGTTGCCCATGACGTCCTAACCCAAAGTTAATTTTGTCAATCTGCTTACTAAGTGGGTGTTCTCTCTCTCTCTCCCTCTTTCCAACATCTGGAACTCTGCTGGGAAAATGACTTTCCCATATAGAAAAGAACATCTCGTAAATTGATGGAGTACCAAGCGGCAACAGTAGGATGTCAGTAGTTTAACTGGAATCCTTAGTTCATGTGCAAACAGGGCAAAGAGTGCCTATCCTTTTATAGGCTTCCCTGGCGGCTCAGAGAACCCACCTGCCGAAGCAGGAGACACAGGGGACCTGGGTTCGATCCCTGGGTCGGGGAGATCCCCTGGAGAAAGAAATGGCAACCCACTCCAGTGTTCTTGCTTGGGAAATCCCATGGACAGAGGAGCCTGGCGGGCTGCAGTCCATGGGGTCACAAAAGAGTTAAACACGACTTAGCGACTAAATAACAGCCTGTCCTGTTGCCTAAAACAAGGGTTGGCAAATTATGGCCCAAAGGCCAAATCTAGCCTATTTAGTTTTATTGGAAAAAAGCCCCGCTGATTTGCTTATGTAATGCCAATGGCTGATTTTACTCTGTTCCTGCAGAACTGAATCATTGCCCCAAGGACCACGTGACCCTTAAGGCTGCAAATACTTATTACCTGGTCTTTTCCAGAAAAAGTTTGCCAATCTCTAGCCTAGACCTTTGCTAATTGAATGGGAAAGAGCTCCTCTTATGTGTTAAAGAATGTGTCATCTTACTAGACTGGGAAGTTGATCACAGTGAAGATGTTTAGTTAATGGTGTAAGATAGAATTGAATAAATATCAAACTTGTGAAGTATTGATTGCATTTGTATAAATAATTCAGAGAGGAGGGCTTAGGCTGGTACCATTGCAGAAAACCGTGTGATGGAAATGGTCTTTGTAGAGTGAGTGAGGTTTGAATTGGAAAATTTCAGAGCTGGAAAGCAGCTTTGAAGACATCTGATTTGGGGTTTCCCAGATACTGGGCTGTGGGCCAGTGTGAGCTTGTGATGGGTTTTTCCCCAATTACTGACAACAGGAGAAAAAAAAAAACACAAGTGGGTTACAAGTTTTAAGGTAGGGCTTTCCCCAGATCTATCCAACATGGACTGTCTCTTCTTATACCTGGTAAGCTTCATAAAACTAAATTTATTCAACCTAACCTAAAAGTCATCTCCTTCTTACATTTATGTAATATTTCCCTTTTGGAAATGACACAGAGAGTTGAGGGTGTGGGCTGGTGCTGCAATTATTTGTACTCTTCCTTGGCAGAAGAAAATTTGACAAACCTGGTGTTTTTCTCGGTCAATAATTTTTTTATGTTCCTTGTGCTGTGAAATCCAGGAGACTTGGAATTACGCAACAGAGTGGATGCTGGTCATCGCTTCAATATCTTCTATATTTGGCAGTAGGCAAAATCAATGAGAAGAGAAAACTATGTAGATGGCAGAAAGAGAAATAAGTTTCAAATGGAGATTATGTTGATTCCTCCCAATTCAGGGCTACCACTCTGCATTTGACTTTTGCACCCAAAGCTCTTCAGTGTTTTAAAACTTTCTCTTCCTCTGCAGAGCCTACCAGGGATTTTTTAGCTTTGGACTCAAGAGCCAGCACAGTGTACTAAGAAGGCTGGGATTCAGAGTCCAAAGCTCCCAGGAGGGAGGCAGTGGCATTCTCCTCCTGTGGAAAGCCTTGCAGTGTCCGTGGGACAGTTATTGTGGTTTTCAGAGCGTCTCTCCTGAGGTGATTGCTCGAGTGCAAGAGAAGCCCGTCGGGCAGGTATCTGAGCAGCCCTAGCCTCACGGGAGCCGATACGCTCAACCTCTGCATCACAGGCAGAGTTTCCAGGATCTGTGCCAGGGCCCTGCCCAGTTGTCAGAGCACTCACCCCACTCAGGAGAGCCTGGAGCTATGACTCCGCATCAGATAGATATGCTTCTTCCAGTCTAAATGTAACCTTCCTGTATGGAGTCATTCCATTAACAACACTGCCTAGCAACAGTTGACACATTACCTTATGAGGTTACCAGGGGAACAGAGTAGAGAATTAACCAAAAGGTTAAGTTCTTATGAAGAAGGGGAAAAAGCTCTATTAACTCATTATCCATGATTGTCTTCTAAACTCTTAGAACAGCAGGTGATTAGGTGCATCTTTAAATCTCTCAAGTTATCAGAGAAATTGAACAACAAGCTATCGTATTCAGACAGGAAGGGGATATTGACTTTTTCAAGAAAGACCCCAGAGGTTCTGAGTCAATGTTATACTGTGAATAAAAAGCTATTTGAATAACCAGCACCTTCTTCTGGACATCTCTATCTAAATATCTCCTCTTCCTGGAAACCCCCCTTGAACATCTGTAAAGTGTATCCTTCTCAGCTATTCTCCATNGTGGGATTGCTGGGTGGTATGGCAGTTCTATTTCCAGTTTTTCAAAGAATCTCCACACTGTTCTCCATAGTGGCTGTACTAGTTTGCATTCTCAACAGTGTAAGAGGGGTCCCTTTTCTCTGCACCGTCTCCAGCATTTATTGTTTGTAGACTTTTGGATAGCAGCCATTCTGACCAGTGTGAAATGGTACCTCATTGTGGTTTGGGTTTGCATTTCTCATTTCCTTCTCTAACCTTCCACTAAATGCTAACTTTAAAGGGTCCTATTTATTTCCCTTTGGGATTATCACCCTCACTAACACATTAGTCACTTTCTCTAAGGCATCTAATTTCATATCTAGAACATGGTGCATACTTCAAATGCATGTTCATCTCATGAAAGAATGGGCAGTGAAGCAAACAGAATGCACAGAGCTGTGAGTCCTCTCTGACATAAGGTGCATTTTACAGTTGTATTCTGAATATTTCTCTTGCTTCACTGGAAGAACAAAGGTTAAGATTCATGTGGTTTGATCTTTTTCCCCTAAAACTTACATCTAGATCTCTCATTATATCTGCCCCAGAGGTCTGACAAAAAGTCCATAGGAAGCCTTCCTAACCACATTCTAAACAGCTGCAGGTTTCATTTAAATGCCCTTTCAAATGCAGAAGGAACACAGTCTGGCTTCGTGTGGCATTCCTTTGGGACCAGTCAGCTCTGATTCTCATTAGCATCCCTGGAGGTTAAACAAGATGAGTTTGGCACAGAGAGCAAGGACTGCTTCTCTGTTTCCATACAGATCACTTTGATAAGCCCCAGCCTCAAACTTCAGCCAAACTAGAAGTAGAAGGAAGAGATTATTTCCCCTTTGATCCAGGGGAAAACAAGTTCTTCAATAAGATGTAAAAATCAAGGGTTTACTTAAAAAACAACTCACAATATAAGAAAAGGAAAATGTTTTCCTAAAAAAAACTTTAGAATATAACTTACCTTTTCAGGCAAATTCATAAAAGGGAGGAATTCTGAGAAAACATTAAAGAAAAATTCCACTCTTGCACATTCCTGTGCTAGTTGATATCATAGCAGCTGGTTCTTTGATGATGTTCTTTTACTAATAAATTTTTCAGCTGGAAAGAGAAATTGGCTTCCCAAAATGAGCATCAGCTCTGGATTTTTGTGGTTAGAATTTTGATGTGATTCATTGAAAACATACAGCAGCATCAAGGAGGGCTGGGTGAGGCATGAATAGCGTGCCTAGGGACCCACTGTCCAGCCGTGATGCCTGGAGGTGTCGATTCTTACAAAATGGGATGAGTTTGCGCAGTGGGCTTGAATTTCAAACACCATGTTGATGTCTCAGATATCCATGTCTGTTTTATCTCAAAGTTAAGAAAATGAGTAGAAACTTGTTTCTTTCAGGGTGGTTTAACACTTCTCCCTCTCCTTGCCAGTATTTATTCTGGGAAAGAAAAGTATGTAATACCTTGAATTTCTGGGTGGGCTCTTGGTTTGTTTGTTAATATTGGAAGATGGAGTTTATTCCAGGTGACAGGTATTCTAAGTGGCTTTTTGAGCTCAGAAGCAGGTGACCCAATATTGGAGGTACCAGGAGCTCCTCATCAAAGTCCGAGGTAGGAGATGTCGCAGAAACTCTTCTTTCCTAGGGTAGTTAGCTCAAAACTTTATCTGTTCAGTTCGCTGTGTGATGAAACTGATGCAGTGCCCTTTCCAAAGATGACATCATCAGTAATCCAGATATGCTGTCATCTCTAAGTATAACAGCTTGTGCTAGCCATATTTTAATATAAAATGGATGGAGACCAAGAGGGGACCAACTGAACTTTAGTGTGTTTCTTTTACTAATTATTTCTCCATGTCCATTCTAGAAAACTACATAAAATAGGACAGACCAAAGCCAGCTTTTTCAAAAAGTGATGTGACTTGCAAAACTACACAAATTAAAATCACAATGAAATGCCTATCAGACTGGCTTGAACAATGCTTATATCCAGTGCCAGATGGGGTGTGAAGAAAAAAATAGTGTCTTACACATATTGCAAGATTGATACACAATTGATAGAGAGTTGTAAACTAGTTTAATCCAGCAATTTAGCTTCTGGGAATTAAACTTAAGGAAATAATTGTAAACATAGACAAAGATGTATGTTCACAGAGGTTCATTAAGTGTCATTTATTGGAAAAGTATAAATGGAAGCAAACTAAGTGGCCCAAAGTAGGTGATTTGTAAAGTATGGTACCTGAAAACAAGTGAATACTATGAAGCTATTCATTAATTAGTTTCCATAAAGAGCTCATTCAATGAATATTTGTTGGGCTCCTTTCCTATGATGTGCCATGTGCCATTCTGAACAGTGGAGATTCAAGAAAACAAATTAAAATCTCTCTCTTTGAAAATCAGTAATCTAGTGAGACAGAAAGTCAGTAGACAAGATAAATAAGTAAAATAAATATAGTATGTTAGATAATTAAGTGCTAAGAGAAAAAGACATAAAAACAGAAAATGGATGAAGTGGGCTTTTTGACAGTGAGCTCTTTGAAGACGAGAGCTGTGGTTTCTTAGTACATCTGCAGTGCCTTGCTCAGAGCCTGGCATGTAGCTGAACAAGTAAATGATTTTTAAACTTTTATGAATAGCCTTCAGACAGAAGGATTGCTATGTTTGGGGGCCTCATGAGTGTGGTTTCAGAGAGAATCTAGAGTTATTAGTAGTATGGTTGCCTGGAGCCTCATATGAGTAAGAGATGAAGCTTGAAGAATAGTGAAATATAGAGTCAATTTGGATTTTATTCTGAAAGCAGTGGGGAGTCACTGACAGATTTAAACACGTGAATAGCTTGATCTAGTTGGTGTCTTAGAAGCATCACTTTGGGAGCTGTAGATGGGGGTGAGAGGGAGGGGGCAAACCCGGAGACAGGACCACCAGTTAGATGTTAATTGTGTATTACTGCTGCCAAGCATACACATGCACACACACACAGACACACACACAGACACACACACACATACCCCCATCCCCAGAGAAATCTGCAGGCAGTCCCCATACATGTTGATAGCTTCCTGTGTGTCTCTGTTAATCTGGCCCCAGGAAAGAACTTGGGTGAGCAGATAAATACTTCAGCTTCCTGGCACTTCAGGAAGACAATTCCGAGGCATGTACAGTAAGGTCTTTCAGGGGATTCCCAGTAAATGCAGCCCAATTGCCCACAGCATTGACCCTCTAAGTGACATATTCCTTAATAGCCCTTCCTTTCCCAGTCTTACTTCCTCGCTCCCTCATTGCATCTCTTGGGCTGTTCTTCACACAACTTGAACCAAAAAAAGGGAGGGGGGGGTAGGTAGATGGTATGTACTGCACTTTTAGATAAGGTAGCCCCTGAAAGTCGCAATGAGAGACAGGCAGGTGTGAAATCCTAAAGGAAGGAAGGGAGCCAGGTATGTCTGGAAGAAAAACATCAATGAAAAAGGACCAGTCCATGCTAATTCACTAAGCCTTGAGACAGCAGCTTGCCTGGTGAGACAGCGGTCAGTGTGGTTGATGTAGAATGAATGAGGCCAAAGCTAATAAGATGTGAGGTCAGGAAAAAAAAGCTGAGGATGTTTAGGGAGGCATATTAAATTTTGTCTTTTACTCTGTGTGTAATGCAAAGCCATTGTCTGAGACAATGACAATGTCTGAGACAGTGACAATCTCTCATTGTCACTGTGAGATTCTGTCTGAGCAGAGAGGAACTTCTCCGACAGGTTTAAGTGCTGTCTCTCTGGCTGGCTGAGAATAGCCTAAAAGCAGAAAAGAGCAAAAGCGTGGAGACCACAATCCAGGTGAAAGATGATAGTATTTTGAATTATCTTGGTAGCAGTGGTGGTGATAAGAAGCCTTTGGAAACCATGTTGTAGGAGAATTATTATCATGATAATTATTTAAAAGCAAGCAAAGAAATAGGAAAGTCTGTCATGATTTTGTAGACTTGTAAAAAAAAATTCCTCAAAGGGCATATTCCAGGATAATCACATTGGTTATCTTGGTTGATTGGAGAATGCTTAAATCTTTCCAGTTTTCTGGATTATGTTTCTAATCAAGGGAAGAGGAGCCTTCATAATTTGGAAGCTCACGAATCAAAGGACCAAACCACTGAATTCTCATCGCCAGAACCATGTGAGTTTTGCATTTCTACAGATCTCTGCTCTGTTTCCTTTTGGAGAATAGCTTTCTCTTCCTCCCTTTCTTTCTCTTCCTCTGTATTTCACTGAGACCATGGAGGAAAATATACTACAATTGGCTTTTCAGAAAATGTTTTTGTGGGTTAAGGACTTAGACTCTTCCTGTCAAGGCCTCACTGTAAGAGCTGCTAAACTAGCTGAATGCTGTAGCGCCGGCACGCTCTCTGGAGGACACAAGTGAAGACGTTAACTTTTGTTTTTACACCAAAAGAATGTGCTATTTTCCAACCTGGGTCAAGAGGGACCATTTTGATGGTTTCTGGTGCCCAAGAATATAGCATTTAAACTGTAGACTGAATGCTTTCTATTTATTTGAATTAAATTGTACAGTCCTCTTGTTATTCAAGAATAACTGAGTGTGTTTATCACCAGACATG